AAGTATTCCTTTCAGACAATAAATATATTACTGTATTATTTTCATTAAAAATCAGGTAGTAAATAATTATTCGTCTGAAAACACTTCTAGGAAGTACCAAGATTCATCTTATAAAATTTAGCATGAAACATAGAAATCAAAATAACAGGACATAAAATAGAAATATTCACTGTCACAAATTTACGCTGCAAAAAGAGGAACTGATGTTTTCATGAATCCATGTAACTCACCAATTATTTACCATATTTTATTGTGGAAATGTATTCATTTTCTACAGTCAAAATAAAAGATTTTCCTTATTTTTTCCTTGGCACATTCTAAAAGCTAAGCCTTGGAAGTCTGCTTAAAATCACCTAACCATAAAAAAACACAACTGAGAAAACTTCTTTACTCAGAAAAAGAAAAAAGTAAATGAGAATTTTTAACAACAACAAAAAAAAATTAGATTTTTTTTAAACCCATCACTAGTACGCCCTTTGTAAATATTTTTGTAACTTTCAAGCTCTACTAATAAAATTCAATTTACAGTTAAAAACCTGAAGTCTACATAAGTGAAAAAATCTTTTCAAGGTGATAAACCCAGGGAGTGGCAGTGCTGATTAAAAAACAGATGTGTCAAGCTGGGCACGGTGGCTGACCTCTGTAATCCCAGCACTTTGGGAGGCTGAGGCAGGTGGATCACAAGGTCAGGAGTTCAAGACCAGCTTGACCAACATGTTGAAACCCTGTCTCTACTAAAAATATTTTTAAAAATTAGCCAGGTGCGGTGGTACATGTCTGTAATCTCAGCTACTCAGGAGACTGAGGCAGGAGAATCGCTTGAACCCTGGAGGCAGAGGTTGCAGTGAGCAGAGATCAAGCCACTACACTCCAGCTTGGGCGACAGAGTGAGACTCCATCTCAAAACACACACACACCCACACACACACACACACGCCAGATGTACACACACCACACACACACACACACACACCAGATGTACACACACACCACACACACACACACCAGATGTGTCTGACTCATGTGTCAAGTCAGGCCATCCAGTCACTTTAGAGATTCTTCCATCCCATCCTGCTCCCTTAAGTACTCCATGATCACCCTCTCAGGAGACACTGCACTATGACCCAGTCACTGCTCTAAGTGCATTTTACTGTGCAAGTTCTCGAATGATCTCTCTGGGGTGAGTTTTTTTGTTTTCTGTTTGTTTGTTTGTTTGTTTTCTTTACTTCTTGGATAGTATTTTTTTCCCACAAATATCAGAGAATCTGGGGTCAGAAATTACTTGTTTTTTCCTCAGTAGATCTGATTGGCTGATCAGCAGTGTCTCCAAGAAATGAAACGTGAGATAAGTGAAAACAACATCTCGAGGAGTTAGCTTTTCAAAGGAGGAGTGCACCAAAAAATTTATCTCAGCTCCTGGGCATCCACCTGTTCCTCTGAGAAGCCACAATTCATACCACACTTCATATGAGAAAAAGTGACCCAGAAACTAATATTCATTAGACACTCCAGCAGGCACAGTCATGGCTGATATATTCAGAGACAGTACTGAAAACCAGGACCAGGAAAAAACTAAAGGGTGGATGAGGAGGACACATAACCCCACAAAGATTCAATAAAGGGCCGGGCACGGTGGCTCACGCCTATAATCCTAGCACTTTGGGAGGCCAAGGTGGATGGAACCTGAGGCCAGGAGTTCAAGACCAGCCTGGCCATCATGGTGAAACCCCATCTTTCAAAAAAAATAATATATGAGGCCAACAATCATATGAAAAAATGCTCATCGTCACTGGTCATCAGAGAAATGCAAATCAAAACCACATTGAGATACCATCTCACGCCAGTTAGAATGGCGATCATTAAAAAATCTGGAGACAACAGATGCTGGAGAGGATGTGGAGAAAAAGGAACACTTTTACACTGTTGGTGGGACTGTAAATTAGTTCAACCATTGTGGAAGACAGTCTGGTGATTCCTCAAGGCCTTAGAAATAGAAATTCCATTTGACCCAGCAATCCCATTACTGGGTATATATCCAAAAGACTATAAATCGTTCTACAATAAGGACACATGTACACGAATGTTCATTGCAGCACTATTTACAATAGCAAAGACCTGGAATCAACCCAAATGCCCATTGATAATAGACTGGATTGGAAAAATGTGGCACATATACACCATGGAATATTATGCAGCAATCAGAAATGATGAGTTTGTGTCGTTTGTAGGGACATGGATGAATCTGGAGAACATCATCCTCAGCAAACTGACACAAGAACAGAAAATGAAACACCACATGTTCTCACTCATAGGTGGGTGATGAAAAACGAGAACACATGGACACAGAAAGGGGAGTACTAAACACTGGGGTCTATTGGGGGGAAAAGGGGAGGGCCAGTGGGAGGGGGAGGTGGGGAGGGATAGTCTGGGGAGAAATGCCAAATGTGGGTGAAGGGGAGAAGAAAAGCAAAGCACACTGCCATGTGTGTACCTATGCAACTGTCTTGCATGCTCTGCTCATGTACCCCAAAACCTATAATCCAATAAAAAATTTAAAAAATATAAAAATAAAAAATAAAAAAATAATAATAATATATTAATTTAAAATAAATAAATAAGATTCTATAAAAAACTTTGACCCCAAAACATTCTTATAAAATCTCTATACCTAGAGAATATATATTAAAAAAAGAGACATATTTTACAATACAGTGTCATGGAATTATTCTTTGCTTTTTTCTCATGGCATATATTTACAACAGAAAATAAATCTTTTTTTTTTTCTTTTGAGATGGAGTTTCACTCTTGTTACCCAGGCTGGAGTGCAATGGTGAGACCTCAGCTCACCACAACCTCTGCCTCCTGGGTTCAAGCAATTCTCCTGCCTCAGCCTCCCGAGTAGCTGGGACTACAAGTGCGTGCCACCATGCCCAGATAATTTTTGTATTTTTAGTAGAGATGGTGTTTCACCTTGTTGACCAGGATGGTCTTGATCTCTTGATCTCGTGATCCACCTGCCTCAGCCTCCCAAAGTGCTGGGATTATAGGCGTGAGCCACCGCGCCCGGCCAATAAATCTTTTTAAATGTGCCATCCAGTACTTTGTCAAAAAAAGATTAAAATATGATATCAAAAATGTACACTAAAGGATAAATAGTTAATGTGAATTAGGGGCCAGGCGTGGTGGTTCATGCCTGTAATCCCAGCACTTTGGGAGGTCAAGGCAGGTAGATCACCTAAGGTCGGGGAGCTCGAGACCAGTATGACCAACATGGTGAAACCACATCTCTACTAAAACTAAAAAATTAGCTGGGTGTGGTGGCGCATGCCTGTAAACCCAGCTACTCCGGAGGCTGAGGCTGAGGCTGAAGCAAAACAATCGCTTGCACCCAGGAGGTGGAGGTACTGATGAGCCGAGATTGCGCCACTGAACAAATGGCAAGACTCCATCTCGAAAAAAAAAAAAAGTGATTAGGGAGAAGTTGGCATTTGAGAGTCTCAGAAAAAACCTGGAAGTTTAGTATTGTACTGCGAACCAGAGTTAGGCTGGAGGAATGGGTGGTGTGGAGTAGACCTGAAACCCTGTTTGAGACACAGGTAAAAAGTGCCCGGGGAAGATCAGTTCCCTGTGGAATGTGAAAACAGGTAAGTGGCAGGCAATTAACTAGAGGTAGCTCTAGTCCCTGGATTCCTACTTTTAAAAATCCAACTCAAATGCTTTTTTTTGGAAATTACCACCTTGGGAAAAACAAAATTCAGGCTTAAGCAACGATAAACTGACAATTACATACGCTCAAGTCTTCTTAATGGAAATTAACAAACTATGTAACTGGCCGGCCCGGTGGCTCACACCTATAATCCCAGCACTTTGGGAGGCTGAGGCAGGTGGATGACCAGGTCAAGAGATTGAGACCATCCTGGTCAACATGGTGAAACCCTGTCTCTACTAAAAATACAAAAAATTAGCTGGGCATGGTGGCGTGTGCCTGTAATCCCAGCTAGTCAGGAGGCTGAGGCAGGAGAATTGCCTGAACCCAGGAGGCGGAGTTTGCGGTGAGCCGAGATCGCGCCATTGCACTCCAGCCTGGGTAATAAGAGCGAAACTCTGACTCAAAAAAAAAAAGAAAGAAAGAAACTATGTAACTGTACCTAACCAATTATTGAATTTGACCACAAACTACAACCCATAGTTGGGTGCCGCACAATTTTAGATCTATATTTTGATTAAATTCTTCAGTAGTTTTGCGGTGACTCCCATGAAGAAAAGAGAGAGGTCAGGCACGGTGGCTCATGCCTGTAATTCCGCCTTGGGAGGCCAAGGCGGGCGGATCACTTGAGATCAGGGGTTCGAGACCAGCCTGACCAACATGGTGAAACCCTGCTTCGACTAAAAATACAAAAAATTAGCCGGGCTTGCCGGCGCGCACCTGTAATACCAGCTACCCAGGAGACTAAGGCAGGAGAATTCCTTGAGCCCGGGAGGCGAAGGTTGAAGTGAGCAGAGATGAAGCCACTGCAAAACCGCCTTCTCACCGCAACCTCCACCTCCTGGGTTCAAGCAATTCTTGAACCCAGGGCAAAAACGCGAGACTCAATCTCAAAAAAAAAAAAAAAAGAAAAGAAAAGAAGAGAAACTGGGAACCCCACAGACCAAAGCTCTTTCCATTCATGAACCCGCACCCCGAGCCTGGATTCTACCCTGACAATCCTCCCATGGTCCCTACACAATCTCGGAGACGCGCACTGCAGGTGCGGAGCTGCACAGAGAGGGCTCCAGGCCTGGGCACAGACACTGCGAAGAGACAGGACGCTCGGGGTCCTGGATGTCAGCGCAGCCGCCATCTTATGGCTGAAGCGGGCTGAGGTCGCGCTGGCCAAGGATAATTTAGGGCGCAGATTGTGGAGCTGACTGTGGGGAGGCCTGGGTCCGGCCACAGCCGCTTCCCACCAGTTCCAACCAGCCCCTTCCCCTCTCTCGGGATGTCGGACAGGCACTCTCACCATTTCTAGGCTTCCAGGGGGTCCTGCCGCCTTAGCTGTGGTTCTCACAGTACCTGCAGGTGACAGGGCCAGAGGCTAGGCCTCCAGGAGCCAAGCCACCCAGCAAGAAAGACGAGACCTGAAGCTCCACTTGCAGCCGGAAACAAAGGCCCCGCCCTATCCCGGAAGCCGCCCTGTCCGCTCCAGCTGAGTGTCTGATTGGACGGTTCCACGCCCAGCGTCACTGATTGGATAACGTTTAAAATCCCACCCTCTCAGACCCTGAGTGACAGAAGATGTGATCAGACACTGGGTGACAGTCTAGGCTTGCTGCCTTTTCAGGCAGGGCTTCCTCCCTGAGTTGAGCTAGGCCCATCCCACTGGGTATTTGCCTTTAACCTTATGTATAAAGTTATATAAGTGTATGAGTAATATGCTATATGTCTATTCACAAATGGAAAGAAGAATTTTAGTTTTACCTTCTTCTGGTCCTTGGAGCAGACAGCCCAAGATTTTAGAAAGGAGACAAAATGGCCGGGCACGGTGGATCACGAGGTCAAGAGATCGAGACCATCCTGGTCAACAAGGTGAAACTCCGTCTCTACTAAAAATACAAAATTCTCCTACTCAGGAGGCTGAGGCAGGAGAATTGGTTGAACCCAGGAGGCGGAGGTTGCAGTGAGCCGAGATCGCGCCATTGCACTCCACCCTGGGTAACAAGAGTGAAACTCCATCTCAAAAAAAAAAAAAGAAGAAAAAGAAAAAGAAAGAAATAAAATATGAGCCACAAATGATTTTAAATTTTCTAGCTGCCAAACTTTAAAAAGAAACAAACAAGTGGAATTGATTGTAACAATTCAATTAATCCAATATATCATCATTTTAATACATAAGCAATATGTTATTACTAATTAAGTATATATATTTTTGGAACTAAATATTCAAAATCAACTCTGTATTTTATTCCTCTAGCAAACTGCAGTTCAGACCAGGCACATTCCAGGCACCCACACATGGCCAACAGCTGCCACAGTGAAGTACAGCTCTGATGTCAGGGGGTAGAGGGCCTGAACATTCCTTTTCTGCCACAGGTGAGGGGACAGTGCCTTCCTACCAACATCTCTCTTCAGTTATGAGTGAAAGAGATAATAGCCACAGAAAGAGCATAAGGTAGCAAGAATAAAACATCCACAGGTAGACTTGCTAAAACTTGCACTTTGAATGAAGAAACCCCCAAATAGGCTTTGTGTGAGCCACATGGCTGTTTATTCACCTGGGTGCAGGTGGGCTAAGGCCGAAAAGGGCGTTAGTGAAGGGTGGTGGGACAGGAGTTGGTTTTACAGGTTTGGGGTGGGCAGTGGAAAGTTACAGAGTAAGATCAGTTACAGTGGTGGGGGTAGGGGCAAGGAGTATACACACCATAAGTTCAGTTACGATGGCAGGTGGGGTAAGAGTAGTAAGATGAATGGTAGGGTGGGGCAGGGAGTATTCACATTATCTTAATAAGTTAAGATGGCACGGTGGAGTGGGCCATCTTAACCAGAAACTCTGCTGAGCTATTAGGGAAAATGGCAAATGCAGGTGGGGGGTAGGTGTGATCAGCAGAGGTAGGCAGGACTTTAGACTTTCTGGGTCCGGGCTTGCACATGGAGGCCTGACAAGACCACTGCTGGCCATCTGTTGCCTACCTTTCTTCCAGAAATCAGGCAGGAAACAGAAAATGCTGGGGCCACAGGAGAAGAAAACTTTACATCTTCAGATGTGACTACAGTCTTGACCTCTAATGTTTACATACGAAAAAAATATGCCAAAAGCAAATTTCCTTTGCCATTTGACCTTGGCCCTAATGCTCACACTGTGGTTATCTGTATTCCCCTGTGGTGTGGGGAACTGTGTGTGTATAAGCACCAATTACATGCATACATGTCTACATGTATTTCTGCATTGATCAACATTCTCTTACAAGACACCCAACTTGAAATCAGGGGAAAAAAACATACCTTTAGGGTACCCACTGTTAGAACGGAACTAGTAGTCAACCTGTAATTAAATCCTGGCATCCTATCTGCACTGGGTGCATGTGTTAGCTATTGCAGCATAACAAACTATCCAAAACTGATTAGTTTGTTGTACTGGAGCGAGCATAGAAAGTCAACACCAAGACAAAAGTATGCCAAATTGCAGGGTCTTTATTGCCGGCAGCCACAGAGGACTCACATCTCTCTAACCCGTGGCCCCAACCTGTGGCTGCAAAAGGAGGGTGTCAAGATGTTTTATATCTGTAAAACCACCTTGGGGGCGAGGGTGAGGGGCGGGGAGGGGGTGAGGGGCTTCAGACATTCCGAGGGCTAGTGGATTCTGTAAATCAGCTCCTGGGAGGAGATGAGGGTGAGGGGCTTCGGACATTCTGATTGTTACTTAAGTGGTTCACAGAAGTCAAGATAAGCATTAGTTTACACGTTGTCTGGGTAGGGTGGAAATTACAGACCTTAATTACTTATTACAAGTCGCAGTGGACAAGATGGCATGGGTTTGGACTGCTTGCCTGTCACATTAGGGGTTACAGAGAGCAGTTTCAACAGAAACCTGAGGTATGGTTGAAGTACGCAGTTTTATGGGGCTTTTACCATGTCACAAGCTCATAATTGAAATGGTCAGCCATTTAGGTTGGGCTCAGTGCGGCCATTCTCTTGGTCTCTGCTGACCTCCTTCAGACATATGTCATCAGCCTGACCAACATGGAGAAACTCCATCTCTAATAAAAATACAAAATTAGCCAGGCACGGTGGCATATGCCTGTAATCCCAGCTACTAGTAAAGCTGAAGCAGGAGAATCGCTTGAACCCCAGATGCAGAGGTTGCGGAAAGCCAAGATCATACCATTGCACTCCAGCCTGGGCAACAAGAGCAAGACTGTCTCAAAAAAAGAAAAAAAGCAGGGTGTGGTGGCTCACACCTGTAATCCCAGCACTTTGGGAAGCCGATGGGGTAGATTGTGAGGTCAGGAGTTCAAGACCAGCCTGGCCAACATGGTGAAACCCCACCTCTACAAAAATATCAAAAATTAGCTGGGTGTGGTGCCATGCACCTGTAATCCCAGCTACTCTGAAGGCTGAAGCAGGAGAATCACTTGAACCCAGGAGGCCGAGGCTGTGGTGGGCAGAGATCACGACATTGCACTCCAGCCTGGGCAAGACTCCATCTCAAAAAAAAAAAACAAACTCTGAGAGGTGGATATTGAGTGTCCCATTATTCCCAACAAAATTTAAATGATGGCCCAGTCTGTTCCTGTTTCTGTTTCCCTATCACTATAAAAACTAAATATAACTGGGCGCGGTGGCTCACACCTGTAATCCCAGCGCTTTGGGAGGCCAAGGTGAGCAGATCATGAGGTCAGGACTTCCAGACTAGCCCAACCAACACGGTGAAACCTCGTGTCTACTAAAAATACAAAAATTAGACATGCATGGTGGCACTCGCCTGTAGTCCCAGCTACTTGGGAGGCTAAGGCAGGAGAATCACTTGACCCAGGAGGTGGAAGTTGCAGTGAGCTGAGATTGCGACATTGCACTCCAGCCTGGGCAACAGAGGGAAACTCTGTCTCAAAAACAAAAAAAAAAACTTAAATATAGACAGATTAGAGGGATATAGAAAAGTAATAAGGGACTTTTTATAGCCGTGTTGATATTTACTTTCTCATAGCTTCTGGAACATCTACTAGATCTGCAGAAATGTAAAATAGGTTGCTAGGTGAAATATCTCTACAAGCACTGGTTTTAATTTTAAAAAGAAAGAAATTAGGTCCCAAATATATAGTCCTTTGCTCCCATTTATTTGCTCTTGGGTTTGAGAAAATTGTGAGATCCAGCTCTGAAGAGACACCAATAGTAGCCACACAGAAGTCTGATCTCCTCTAATCAGTACCATGAGAGAGAATCAGAGTGAGGCCAGACCTGAACAAACCTCAGAAGAGGGTAGAGCCAGGTAGGGCTGGGGGAGGGAGCCGGCCCTCAGCTTCTCCTTTCTATGCTGCTGGCTTATTTTCAGTTGTATCTTTTTTTTTTTTTTTTTTGAGATGGAGTTTCGCTGTTGTTACCCAGACTGGAGTGCAATGGCACGATCTCGGCTCACCACAACCTCCACCTTCTGGGTTCAAGCAATTCTCCTGCCTCAGCCTCCCAAGTAGCTGGGACTACAGGCGCATGCCACCATGCCCAGCTAACTTTTGTATTTTTGGTAGAGACAAGATTTCACCTTGTTGACCAGGATGGTCTCAATCTCTTGACCTCATGATCCACCCACCTACGCCTTCCAAAGTGCTGGGATTATAGGCGTGAGCCACCGGCCCAGTTGTATCTTTTCTAAACCTGACCAAAAAGAACTTGACTCCCAGAATTTTTCCAATTTTAACAGTTTAAGCCTTATCCATATCTCTTCTGCATAATACAATAACAAGCAATATAATCAAAACATGTAGATCTTTCTAGAAAAATTATGTTAGAAACTATTCATTCTTAACAAGGAAAAAGCAATATTAATTGTAACAACTCCTCTGCCCATGGATGGCCCTTCAGGTGGTGATATCAGAACTCACAACAAGAACATAAGAGCAGTGTCCCAAATGATACCCAACTCCCTTCTTTGTTTTAATCACATTATCCCCCACTTCTTCCCCATCCCTCCAGACGGAGTTTCATTCTTGTTGCCCAGGCTAGAGTGCAACCTTGGCTCACTGCAACCTCTGCCTCCCAGGTTCAAGCACAATTCTCCTGCCTCAGCCTCTAAGTACCGGGATTATAGGCATGCACCACTACGCCTGGCTAATATTTTGTATTTTTATTAGAGACGGATCTCTCCATGTTGATCAGGCTGGTCTTGAACTCCTGACCTCAGATGATCCACCTGCCTTGGCTTCCCAAGGTGGTGGGATTACAGGCATGAGCCACCTCATCAAGCCTCTGATCACACTAGTCTTAATTCAATCATTTATTCACTGGCTCTAGAACAAAAATGTCTTGATGGTAGTGTCGATTACTGCTTCACCTGTTTTTCCTTTTTTTAAAGATGGGGTTTCACCACTATGGCCAGGCTGGTCTTGAACTCCTGACCTCAGGTAATCCACCCACCTTGGCCTCCCACAGTGCTAGGATTACAGGCATGAGCCACCGCACCCGGCTTCACCTGTTTTTCTAATGGCCAAATAAAATGGAAGCAATTTGTTTTCCTATCAGTTTGGCCCTCCAGACCTCCTACTTGTTTGTTTTTTACCCAAGTATCAGAAAACTGGAGCAGCTTCCATTTGGACACCAAATAAGGACATTCCTTCTATGAGGAAAGAAATAAGCCCTGGATTACTCATTCTTTCTCTGAGATCGGAAGAAGGTTATACTCCATCATCAGCCTGACCTCAGACTGCACAGGGTAACCCCAAATGTCTCAAAGACTCCTAGGTGCTAGTGAGAGGATCTGCAGTGGCCCTGGGCTGATGCTCCAGTAGTTATTCAAACAGTGGAGACTCAGGCTGACTCAGTGGGACCTGAATAAAAAAAGAGAACAGCCCAAGGCCAGGTGCAGTGGCTCACTTCTATAATCCCAGCACTTTGGGAGGCCAAGGTGGGTGGATCACAAGGTCAAGAGATCAAGACTATCCTGGTCAACATGGTGAAACCCCAACTCTACTAAAAACACAAAAATTAGCTGGGCATGGTGGTACACGCCTGTAGTCCCAGCTACTTGGGAGGCTGAGGCAGGAGAATTGCTTGAGCCTGGGAGGAGGAGGTTGCGGTGAGCCGAGATCATGCCATTGCATTCCAGCCAGGGTAACAAGAGCCAAACTCCATCTCAAAAAAAAGATAACAGCCCTTAATTCTCAACCCAGATCTGGTATTACCTACACCTGCTCAGTTAACTGTTGGGTACACAAATAAGAATATCCTTTTCCAGTGGCACAATTTATACATAGGAGATGGAGTTATATTTATGGCTCTAGACAGTGGTGGCCCTGCCCTCCCTCTGCTAAGGTGCTTCTTGGTTTCTTTTTGAGAAATGGGGTTTCACCATGTTAGTCAGGCTAGTCACGAACTCCTGACCTCAAGTGATCCACCTGCCTTCGCCTCCCAAAGTGCTGGAATTACCCTACCAGATTGAGTTTACATGAGGACCCCCTCACACAATTGCAGCAGCTCTTGAACAAAATCCAAAGTCTGGCCCTGTCTTGTGAATCCCAGACAGATGTCAGCCCTTCTGTGCAGATTCTAGAAACCATTAATCTGGCTCTGTATTCTGGGTGTTACAGTGACAAGAGGAAAGCTGGAGAGAAATCCCCACAAAAGGCTGCTCTAACACATACTCAAAAACCCTAGAACATGACCTCAAAATTTGGAACACAGATTTAGAATCTGGAGAGTCAGGGAAGCAAGCTACAGGCACCCTTGGCACATTCATGGGCATTTGGGCAAGAGAATGAGTGAAATGTTTCGATTCTCAGGCCCACACAATGCAAGTGTGTGAACCTGGTTGGGTTTTCAGGCCATGTGGTATTTGAATCTATTTCACATCTGAAGATGCCAGGGGCATGAAAAGGCAAAGCTGGAATTGTTGATTGCTGCCCTTTAGTTATTTTTATAGAATTCTAGTCAAATTGCACTATTAAGGATCATAGATCAGCCAGGCGTGGTAGCTCACACCTATAATCCCAGCACTTTGGGAGGCCGAGGCAGGTGGATCACAACGTCAAGAGATCAAGACCATTCTGGTCAACAAGGTGAAACCCTGTCTCTATTCAAAATACAAAAATTAGCTGGGCATGGTGGTGCGCGCCTGTAGTCCCAGCTACTCGGGAGGCTGAGGCAGGAGAATTGCTTGAAGCCAGAAGGCGGAGGTTGCGGTGACATGCCATTGCACTCCAGTCTGGGAAACAACAGCGAAACTCCGTCTCAAAAAGAAAAAAAAAAAAAAAAGATCATAGATCACAAATAGGCAGAAAGACCATTCTGGCAGATGTGGAGGGCAGTGTGTACTTTGCTGCACCATTGTGGGTTGTGACTGGTAGCCCAAGAGGGAAAGGTCCATACAGAGTAAAGCCTGGTGGACACATCATGTGTTCATATCTTCCCTAGTAATTATGGGCAATGTTAGAGAAATATAATTAAAAACAAAATTGGCCAGGCTCACGCCTATAATCCCAGCACTTTGGGAGGCCGAGGCGGGTGGATCACGAGGTCAGGAGATTGAGACCAACCTGGTCAACAAGGTGAAACCCTGTCTCAACTAAAAATACAAAAATTAGCTGGGCATGGTGGTGCACGCCTGTAGTCCCAGCTACTGGGGAGGCTGAGGCAGGAGAATTGCTTGAAGCCAGAAGGCGGAGGTTGCAGTGAGCCGAGATCGTGCCATTGCACTCCAGTCTGGGTAACAGCGAAACTCCATCTCAAATAAATAAATAAAAACAAAATTATCTGCAGCCTCAGAAAAACTATTCACAATGGTAGAACAGAAAGAAAACTGGCCGGACACGGTGGCTCAAGCCTGTAATCCCAGCACTTTGGGAGGCTGAGACAGGTGGATCACGAGGTCGAGAGATCGAGACCATCCTGGTCAACATGGTGAAACGCCGTCTCTACTAAAAATACAAAAAAATTAGCTGGGCATGGTGGCGCGTGCCTGTAATCCCAGCTACTCAGGAGGCTGAGGCAGGAGAACTGCCTGAACCCAGGAGGCGGAGGTTGCGGTGAGCCGAGATCGCGCCATTGCACTCCAGCCTGGGTAACAAGAGCGAAACTCCGTCTCAAAAAAAGAAAAGAAAGAAAGAAAGAAAACTGTTTCATTACACAATTAGACTAGAATGTGAGGGCATTATTGACAAACTGCTAAGAGACTGCAAAAGACACTCAATTGCAAATAGACACCATAAAATTAGTTCTCAAGTAGAAGAGCTGACAGCACCATTTGTCACACACCGAGTCGGGATTCTGCCCTGATGACCCGCCTGTAGATCCCTGAACAACAATGCAGAGCTGTCCAGAGAGCTCCAGACAGGGCGCCTCGCAGGGACAGACGCAGGGTCCCGGCTGCGGAACCAGCCTCCATCCTGCGGCGGGAGGGGCCTCGGGCGGAGCTGCGCCAGCGGGGACTCAGGTCGGCGACCCGGAAGCGGACTGTTAGGAGGCCGGTCCAGTCGGTTTCACAGCCCGCTCTCCCCTCTGGGGATGCCCTACCCCGCACACTCACCCTTTCCCAGTTTCCAGGATGCCCTGGCATCTTAGCTGTGCGTCTCCCAAGAACTGCAGATCACACGGCAACAGAAGCTGTGACAAAGTCACCAGGATATACCGAGGAGCAGGAGCGAGAGACAAAGGTCCTGCCAAGGGCCGGAAGCCACGCCCTCCTTTCCAACTGCGCGCCTGATTGGACGGTTCCCACGCGGCGCCACTGACTGGATAAAGCCCCAGACCCACCTCACCCCCACCCTCCCAGCATAACTGCATTTTAGGGACAGGAAAACCGGCTCACGTAGGCGGGGTCACAGGCCCAAGGAATTCCACATAATTGAGAAGTGAGCTGAGGCTTGAAATGCACTTGCTCCTTACCTTACCTGGATCGGCTTCAATAATGCATCTTAGTAACTACTTAAAGGTAAGAAGGAAAACACTTGGATACCTTTTTAAACAACCTTTTTAATCATTTTTATACTACAGGAAAGACCTTCATCCCATCTCTGAGCCCGTCTTTTGCCATGCCTTACCCCACTGCTGACCACATCGTGGGGTGACCATTAGAAATGGTGGGGAGGGGCCGGGTTCGGTGGCTCATGCCTGTAATCCCAGCACTTTGGGAGGCCGAGGCGGGCGGATCACCTGAGGTCAGGAGATCAAGAGCAGCCTGGCCAATATGGTGAAACCCTGTCTCTATTAAAAAAAAAAAAAAAAAAAAAAAAAAAGGACAAATTGTTAAATAAATTATAGCCTAAAGCTGCCCCCTTTTCTGTTTAATTTTGGTCACTACGTGTTTTGTACATAGTAAACTGAAACTTAACTGGATATATAAATAGGCTGTAGCCCGTTTTTGTACCAACCACAGGATTTTTTGCCAATAAAAGAGCATCAGGTGTTCAAATCATAATTAAATAAAGCAAATCTCAACCTGTAATCAGTCTGGCTGCTTCTGTACCTCACTTTCATTTTCTGCATGTCACTTTGCTTTTGCTGTCTATAAATCTGTTTTCATTATGTGGCTGTGCTGGAGTCTCTCTGAGCCTACTCTGGATCCACAGGCTGCCCAGTTTGCAAATCATTCCATGCTCAGTTGAACTCTGTTAAATTTAATTTCTCTAAAGATTTTTTTCTTTTAAAAGATTTCAATTATTTTCCTTTTTTTTTTTTTTTTTAATAAGATGGGGTTTCACCCTGATGGCCAGGCTGATCTTGAACTTCTGACCTCAGGTGATCCACCCACCTCGGCCTTCCAAAGTGCTAGGATTACAGGCGTGAGCCACCGCACCCAGCCATTTCAATTATTTTCTTTCTCCCTCCCTTCCCTTCCTTTCCCCCCCTTCCTCCCTTCCCTTCCTTTCCTTTCTCCCTCCCTCCCCTCCCCTTCTTTCCTCTCCCCTCCCCTCCCCTTGCCTTCCCTTCCTGCCCTTCTTTCTCTCTCTTTTTTATTTTTTATTTTTTTTGAGACAGAGTTTTGCTTTTGTTACCCAGGCTGGAGTGCAATGGCCCTATCTCAGCTCACCGCAACCTCCGCCTCCTGGATTCAGGCAATTCTCCTGCCTCAGCCTCCTGAGTAGCTGGGATTACAGGCACACGCCACCATGCCCAGCTATTGTTTGGTATTTTTATTAGAGACGGGGTTTCACCATGTTAACCAGGATGTTCTCGGTCTCCTGACCTCGTGATTCACCCTCTCGGCCTCCCAAAGTGCTGGGATTACAGGCATGAGTTACTGCGCCCGGCCTTTTTAAAATTTTTATTTATTTATATATTTTGAGATGGAGTTTCGCTTATTACCCAGGCTGGAGTACAATGGCATGATCTTAGCTCACTGCAACCTCCGCCTCCTGGGTTCAGGCAATTCTGGCTCAGCCCCCTAAGTAGCTGTACAGGCACACACCACCAAGCCTGGTTAATTTTTTTTGTATTTTTTTTTTTAAAGATGGGGTTTCACCATGTTGGTCAGGCTGGTCTTGAACTCCTGACCTCAGGTGATCCACCCGCCTTGGCCTCCAAAGTGCTTGGATTACAGGCGTGAGCCATCGTGCCCGGCCAGATTTCAAATATTTTCTGTGATGAAAAGCAACTAATGTGCTGTTGGGCTTTTATTTTCTAAACTCACCCCTCAGCTCTTTCCCCAAATTACTTTGTCTTTTCAAAATGCTTCTCCAATTTCTTTTCTTTTTGGGGGGGGGCGGGGACGGGGTCTCCCTTTGTCACCCCGTCTTGATTGAAGTGGTGTAACCACTCATAGCTCACTGCAACCTTGACCTTCCAGGCTCAAGCAATCCTCCGGCCTCTGCCACCTAAGTAGCTGGGACTACAGGCATGCACCACCATGGCTGGTTAATTTCTCCACTTTTGTCATGGAAACAGAATCTTACTACGTTGCTCAGGCTGCACTGGAACTCCTGAGCTCACATAAATCTCCCATCTCAAACTCCCAAAGTGCTAAAAATATAGGTGTGAGCAACCTTATACTTCTGCAATTTCCTGTGATAATTATTTCCAATGATAAAAAGTACTATATGAGCACAAATCTAAAAGGAATCCGACTTCCTCTGCAGAAGTGTCACTCTCCAGGATTTCAAGAGTCAACTGCAACTGCCACCTCCCAGGTTCAAACAATTCTCCTGCCTCAGCCTCCCGAGCAGCCAGGATTACAGGCACGTCCCACCACGCCTGGCTAATTTTTGTATTTTTAGTAGAGACAGGGTTTCACCATCATGGTCAGGATGGTCTCGATTTCCTGACCTTGTGATCTGCCTGCCTTGGCCTCCTAAAGAGCTGGGATTACAGGTGTGAGCCACAGCACCCTGTGAAAACTGACGACATTCTTTCAACCCTCTTGTATCTAAGGCCATAGCCAGGTGCTCTTACAGCTGTTTCCATCAAGATCGGGAATCTGTTTTCCAAACCCTACATCTGGCTGGCCTTATTTGCTCAGGTAAATAGAAACCTGAGAACATGATAGTGGGCTAGTCTGGGTCCTGGACTCAAATAGTCTTGACTGCCTCTGGTTTTTCTTTTAGAATGCTGCCATCTCCATGAATAATGCCCATGTTAGCCAGCTGGAAAATAAGATACCATGAAGAGAAGAAGAAAGGTGGCCCCGTTTTTTGTTTTGTTTTGTTGAGATGGAGTTTCACTGTTACCCAGGCTGGAGTGCAATGGTACGATCTCAGCTCACCACAACCTCTGCCACGTGGATTCAAGCAATTCTCCTGCCTCAGCCTCCCGAGTAGCTGGGACTACAGGTACGCATTACCATACCCAGCTAATTTTTGTATTTTTAGCAGAGACGGGGTTTCACCTTGTTGACCAGGATGGTCTCGATCTCTTGACCTCATGATCCACCTGCCTCGGCCTCCCAAAGTGCTGGGATTATAGGCGTGAGCCACCGCACCCGGCCAGTTATTTATTTTTATTTTTTAGATGAAGTCTTGCTGTCGCCCAGGCTGGAGTGCAGTGGTGTGATTTTTGGCTCAGTTACCTCTGCCTCCTGAGTTCAAGTGATTCTCTTGCTTCACCCTCCTGAGTAGCTGGGATTACAGGTGTGTGCCACCATGCCTGGCTAATTTTTGTGTTTTTAGTACAGACAGTGTTTCACCATTTGTTCAGGTTGGTCTCGAACTCCTAATCTGGTGATCCACCCACCTCAGCTTCCCAAAGTGTTGGGATTACAGCCACGAGCCACCATGCCTGGCCACCTTAGTTATTTCTACTGTGAATTCTCTGATACTTACATAGACTCAATTTTGAATTAGATATTTTTTCATACTTACATCATTCACAAAAACATATCTTAGTATGAACTCTCTGGTGTTATCTAAGTTGGAGTTTCAGAAAAAACGTTTTTTCAAATTTATTACATTTGGAGTTTTCTCCAATATAAATTCTCTGATGTTAAAGTTTCAGCAACTGTTTCAGGGTTTTCCTCTAGTACAAACATGTACAGTAAGATCTGTGATACAAATAAACAACCCTCTTTATATTTGTAATGTTTGTCAACAGAAATACACTTCTTCACTTTAAAAGCTTGTATTTTCTGAAAGATCTTGACAGTAATTGCATTTATAATGCTTTTATTAAGTACTATTGAGTAAGATGTGAGCAGGTATTAATGCCTATTCCACATCCTTTATATTTACACATTTTTTTCTCAAGTATAAATAAATGCTTTCCTGGTAATAAGGTGTGAGCATAGGTTAAAAGTTTTACCTCATTCTTCACACTTTTAAGAGTTTGTACATCTGGGCGCAGTGGCTCCCACCTGTAAGCCCAGCACTTTTGGAAACCAAGGTGGGCAGACCACAAGGTCAGGAGATTGAGACATCCTGGCCAACATGGAGAAACCCCATCTCTACTAAAAATACAAAATTAGCTGGGCAGGGTGGAGCATGCCTGTAATCCCAGCTACTCAGGAGTCTGAGGCTGCAGAATCACTTGAACCCGGGAGGTGAAGTTGCAGTGAGCCAACATTGCGCCATTGCACTCCAGCCTGGGCAACAAGAGTGAAACTCCATGTCAAAAAAAAAAAAAGAAAAAAAGAAAAGTTTGAGGTGTGTCAAAATTACTGTGACATCTTCCAGGTTTGTAGAGTTTCTCTCTATTATAAATTTTTTCTGTTTAGTATGACTTAAAAAACAGTTAAAAGCATTGCCATACCATTCACAATTGTAGGGTTTCTATCTAGTATGAATTATCTTACGTTTATTAAAAGCTGGGAATACAAAAAGGCTTTGCCATATTATTTACATTTCTAGGGTTTTTTTTTTTTCAGTATGAATTCTTATGTCTTGTAAGGGTTGAGAACCAGTTAAAAACTTTGCCACGTTCTTCACATTTGTTGGGTTTCTCTCCAGTATTTATTATTTTACGTTTCATTAGAGTTGAGGCATATTTAAGAGCTTTGCCACATTCTTCACATTGGTAGGGTTTCTCTGCAGCATAAATCATTTCATGCATAGTAAAGGTTGAGGGTCAGTTAAAAGCTTTACCATATTCTTCACACTTGTAAGGTTTCTCTCCACTATGAATTATCTTATGACTAGAAAGGTTTGAGTAGTTAAAAAGCATTGCCATTCTTTGTAAGGTTTCTCTTCAGTATGAATCATCTTATGTTGAGTAAGGCTTGAGAATGCACTAAAGGCTTCACCACATTCTTCACATTTGTAGGGCTCTTCTCCAGTATACATTTTCTTATGTTTAGTAAGGTTTGAGAACTTATTAAATGGTTTGCCACATTATTCACATTTGTAGGGTTTCTCTCCAAAATGAATTACCTTGTGACTAGTAAGATCTGATGACTAAAAGCTTTGCTGCATTTTTCACACTTGTAGGATTTGTCTCAAGTATGAATTACCTTATGAGTAGTAAGAGTTGAGGACTGCTTAACTTACGTTTAGTAAGGTTTGAAGAATGGTTAAAAGCTTTGCCACATTTTTCAAATTTGTACAGTTTCTCTCCAGTATGAATTATCTTATGTCTAGTAAGAGTTGAGGACCGGTTAAAAGCTTTGCCACACTTTTCACATTTCATATTTGTAGGGTTTCTCTCCAGTATCAATTGTCTTATGTTCAGCAAGGTGTGAAGAATTGGTAAAGGCTTTGCCACACTCTTCACATTCGTAGGGTTTCTTTTCAGTATGAATTCTCTTATGCACAGTAAGGGTTGAGGATTGGTTAAAAGCTTTGCCACATTCTTCACATTTGTAGGGTTTCTGTTCACTATGAAGTTTCTTATGACTAGTAAGGCTTGAAGACAGTTTAAAAGCCTTGCCACATTCTTCACATTTGTAACGTTTCTCTCCAATGTGAATTATCTTATGTCTAGAAAGCGCAAAGGACCGGTTAAAGGCTTTGCCACATTCTACACATTTGTAGGGTTTCTCTCCAGTATGAATTTTCTTATGTTCAGTAAGGACTGAGAAATATTTAAAAGCCTTGCCACACTCTTCACATTTGTAGGGTTTTGCACCAGTATGTATTTTCTTATGACTAGTAAGCCTTGACTGGTAAGTAAAGGGTTTGCCACATTCTTCACATTTGTAGGGTTTCTCTCCAGTATGAATTCTCTTGTGGATAATAAGATATGAGAACTGGTTAAAAGCTTTGCCACATTTTTCACACTTGTAAGCTTTCACTCTAGTATGAATGATCTTATGAGTAGTGAGAGTTGCGGACTGGTTAAAAGTTTTGCCAGATTCTTCAAATTTGTGGGATTGGTCTCTAGTATAAATCATCTTATGTCTAGTGAGGTCTGAAGAATGCTTAAAAGCTTTGCCACATTCTTCACACTTGTGTGGTTTCTCTGCAGTATGAATTATCTTATGTATAGTAAGGGCGGAGGATCAGTTAAAAGCTTTGCCACATTGTCCACACTTGAATGGTTTTGATTCACTATGAATTTTCTTATGTCTATTAAGGTTTGAAGACTGTTCAAAAGCTTTGCCACATTCTTCACATTTGTAGGGTTTCTCTCCAGTATGAACTCTCTTATGCACAGTAAGGGTTGTGGATCGGGTAAAAGCTTTGCCCCATTTTTCACACTTGTACGGTTTCACTCCAGTATGAATGATCTTATGAGTAGTGAGAGTTGTGGACTGGTTAAAAGTTTTGCCAGATTCTTAGATTTGTAGGATTGGTCTCTAGTATAAATTATCTTATGTCCAGTAAGTTCTGAAGAACGCTTAAAAGCTTTGCCACATTCTTCACACTTATACGGTTTCTCTCCAGTATGAATTTTCTTACGCACAGTAAGGGTGGAGGATCGGTTAAAAACTTTGCCACATTGTCCACACTTGAATGGTTTTGATTCACTATGAATTTTCTTATGTGTAGTAAGGTTTGAAGACTGTTTAAAGGCTTTGCCACATTCTTCACATTTGTAGGGTTTCTCGCCAGTATGAACTCTCTTATGCATAGTAAGGGTTGAGGATCAGGTAAAAGCTTTGCCACATTCTTCACACTTACATGGTTTCTCTCCAGTATGAGTTATCTTATGTTGAATTAGATGTGAAAGCATACAAAATGATTTGTCATATTCTTTACATTTGAAAGGTTTCTTTCCAGTATGTCTTATATTATGTCTACTTAAATTTGAAAATTTATGAAAGACTTCCACATATTTATCACATTGAAATGTTTTACTCTGAGAGGTTGTCACACATTGGTCAAGTCCATTATAACTTCCTTTGTGTCTGTTACACTCATCCACACTTTTACAACCTTTACTTAATTCTGAATTCTCATGTCCACATTTTCCATATCTTGTCAGTATCTCTTGTAGGAAAGAATTTTTTATGTTTTGCTTTGGCCTAAGTTCTTTGGAAAAATAACTCAAAACTGAAAGAAATAAAAATAAAAAATTATTTTATTTACTAGACTCAGATGAATATACTTTACAAATCTAATCTATATTATACAAACTACGTAAGTAAGATGGCACAGCAAAACACCACAGGTCCTAATTCCTTGTAGACAAATAAATGTAATAAAACATTCTGACCAGAATACATTTGTTAAAAAATTATAAATAAGTGTGTGCAGGGCCCCAGGTGAGCACAATGCAAAGAACTCCACAGAAGAAAAAAAGAAGTCTGTTACATTTACCCAACACAGCTCTTTCTGCTCCCCAATATAACATGATGTTTTCAGAAGTAAATTGCAAATTCCCGGTTTCTTTTTTAAAGGACAAAAAAATACTGGCACATACATCTTTCTTTCTGGTTTCTAGGGCCCTTTCCAGACACTGCTGTCTCTATTGTCTCCCATGACATAAAGTGCTAAAAGAAATGGTATAATTTGGAATTACAGTTTGAGTCTGTTTAGACCAAAGGTAAGTGTTATAGCAGCAGAGAGACTGCAGCGCCACAGACAGGGAACAGGTGTAGAGAGTAATTACTATTAAGAAGAAACACTAACATATTTCTTTATTAAAAAAAAAAAACCACACACAACATTTTAGACAAGACACATTCTAAGAATATGTTTGAGAGACTTCCAAAACTTCTAGGCAAGAGAACTGGTTTCAGGCTGTGCCAGGACAAAGCTACATACATTATAAAGACAGTGACAAGCAGCTTGTTCTCAATATCCAAATCTCAAAAATTAGAATATATACAAAATATTAGGGCAACATGGCCCATCAAAAACATTATCAAGCTTTCGGTAAGTAATCATAAAAATATGAAGATGTATGAACTATATTTAAAAATTTAAAATAAATACTATACAATAAGTGAAATAGAAAAAAGACAACTTAAAAATCAGAAAAAAAATAACAAAAATAATATCAAAAAACATAAATTATGGAGATAAAAAGTCAGGGACAAGAAGAGAATCTTCAGAACTGAAAGATAAAATCATGTGTCATTTATAAGAATAGTCTTATGAGATAACCAATGAACTTTTAAAAAAAATTCGTTAGACCTGAATGGAACTGGGTAATATAGTCAAAGTCTTGAAAAAAAATAGCTGTTCAGTGAGAGTAACACAAATAACAAAACTGTCCGACCACATAAAAATAAAACACCTTCCAAAATAACCTAATCCTAAGAACTTACATATCAAACCTGAAAGGAGTTCCTTCCACTGCAAATAACGTAATGTAAGAAAACAACACAAAACCCTACCAAAAAAAAAAATTCTGGGAAAGATATGTACACGCACAATAATAGCGTTCTTTAGCATTATCATAATGAGGCAGAAAACATTTTTAATCATTTTCTAAAATTTGAAAGATAAAAGCATAGAAGTGATGATAAACATCTGTTAATGAGTAGTAACATAAAAAGATATAATTAACAACATCAATATCAAACTTGAGAGCAGATGTACTGAGGAAGAATTTTTGTATGCAAATGAAGATAATGTTTTACCAGATTAAAACCGTTTTAACTTTTAGAGTTTGTATGCAATCTCAAAGGTGCCATAAAGGAAATATCTGTATAGATATATAAAAGAAAATATGAGAGAAGTGAAAGCATATCAATGCAAAAATATAAAGTGAAAAAAGGAAGACAGAGAAAATGAAAGACAAAGATACAAGAATCTAATAAAATAATAAAATAACATTCATGTTTCTCTTTCAGAAAATTAAGTAAAATTTATATACAAATTATGTGACATATTATATATAACAAACTTTCCAATCAAGCTTGCGTTTCCATAATAGTTGAGATCTAATAATAAAAAGGGACTGAAAGTTCCAAGATAAAAGTAGATTTTTTTGGTAAATATTAACCAAATGAGAGAAGAAGAGGTCAAAATGATATTACACAGCTACAAGTTAAGTCAAAACCTGTCATATATAATAAAATGTACTTTAAGTCAAAACTCCAAAGAGACAAAGAAGGACATTAAAAAATAATAGATTCAGTCACGGGAAACCTATGACAAATTTGTACATGTATGTGTATCTCACATTAAGGTTCAAAATATATAAAGGAAACATTGACAGGACTGCAGAAACACAGAGAGTAATATAATTATAGTAGAATATTTCAATATCCCACTTCCTGTAATTGAAAGAAAAGAATACTAGTAAGGAAACAGAAAACTTGAAGGCAGTATAAAACAATTATTTCTTAACATTAAAGGTATAGAAAGCTCAACATCAAGAATACACACCCTTCTCATTAGCTTAACACTCTCCTTAAAAGAACCACCTGTTAGGTCAAAAAAGAAGTCTTAATACATTTTTTAAAACTGAAACTATACTATATGGGTTACTTTCTATGGCCAAAATGCAATGAGAGTATAAAACAATAAAAGAAAAAAATGGAAAAATTCACAAATGTATAGAAATTAACACACATTTGAGTGTGCTATTGTTCAAAGGTTGAAATAATTAACATTGCTCAATGTAATCTACAGAGTTAATGTAATGTTTTTCAAATTTTTCAAAAAAATAGAAACAACAACTCCAAAAGTATATGAAATCTCAAGAGACAATAAAGGACCCAACAATATTCAAAACAAGAAAATTGCTGAAGGTATGAGTTTCTTATTTCAAAACACATTGCAAAGCTACAAAACTAAAATAATTCTGTAAGAATATAAAGTTAATTAAGTATACTGTAAGCCAACAACAACAAAAATAATATAAAGTTAATTAAGTATACTGTAGGCCAACAACAACAAAAATAATATAAAGTTAATGGCCGGGCGCGGTGGCTCACACCTATAATCCCAGCACTTTGGGAGGCCGAGGCGGGTGGATCACGAGGTCAAGAGATCAAGACCATCCTGGTCAACAAGGTGAAACCCCGTCTCTACTAAAAATACAAAAATTAGCTGGGCATGGTGGTGCGCACCTGTAGTCCCAGCTACTCGGGAGGCTGAGGCAGGAGAATTGCTTGAACCCAGGAGTCAGAGGTTGCAGTGAGCCGAGATCGTGCCATTGCACTCCAGTCTGGGTAAAAACAGCGAAACTCTGTCTCAAAAAAAAAATATTTATATATAAAGTTAAGAAAGTAGAATGCAGCACATGTATAAACTTCCACATATTCGGTCATACAGTCACTTGCATACCCATAATTATTGCAGCAGTGTCACTGAAAGCTAGTAGGTACAAGCAATGCAAATTTCTGTCACCAAATTATTCAGCAAATATAATTTGACGTATAAATATACAGGAATATCACTTTGCAAAAAGCAAAAAATTTCACTAAAGATAAATCTTTATGACATTATTCAAAATGAAATGAGCCAGTCACAATAATTCAGAGATTGGATGATATGTAAAAGTTATATTCAGAAACAAAACAGTGGTGTTTCAAAAGGGCCACAAAACGGGAATAACTGGTGGTTGTTTAATGTATATTGAGATTTACCTTTGCAAGATCAAAACATTTTAGCAATATGTTTTATGACAGTGTCAGTATCATTAATAAGACTATGCTAAATATATTTAAATATTTTGGGCAGGGTGCAGTAGCTCATGTCTGTAATCCCAGCACTTTAGGGGGCTGAGGAAAGTGGATCACTTGAGGTCAGGAGTTCAAGACCAGCCTGGCCAACATGGTGAAACCCAGTCTCTGCTAAAAAAGAAAACACACAAAAAAATTGGCTGGACATGATTGTGCCCACCTGTAATCCCAGCTACTTGGAAGGCTGAGGCCAAGAATTGTTTGAACCCAGAAGGCAGAGGTTGCAGTGAGCCGAGATTGCACCACTACACTCAGCCTGGGTGAGAGAGCACAACTCCATCTCAAATAAAAAAGAAAGCAATATTTATTCTAAGTTTTGTTATGTGTTTTGGACAAGTAAAAATAAACAATAATACCTAAGAGAGATACAGATTTATCATAGTTTCAAATTATCTTTAAATCCAAAACTGCTTCTCCCACACAAAAATAATACAGATTCACAATAATACAGAAATTGTAATGTCAAAATTAGGAGGATTTATATGACTCCTCACTTAGAATTAAACAACCATTCACAAAAAACCCACACAGCAAATACACAAGTTATAAAAAAAAAATACAGGAATAATATTTATACAGACAAACAGAGATAATTATATCAGCAATAGACTTATGGCTGATTCATATTTGATTTATTCAAGTGTCTTAAATTGTTTAGACTTAAATACTGTCATACACAGTATTATAAACTAGATCATCAAAACACAATTAACTGATATGAGGTGGCAAACCCTAGAATATATAACACAAAAATATAAAATTGTACAGAATACAAAACTTATTTGGCATCATCAAGTCGATCAATATATTCATGAAAGGAATCCTAGAATATATGTCAAAAGTAGTATGAGGACACTTGAAGGTAAATAAAAGCTGCGAACTTTCCAAATTTTGATGTAATAAAAATTTTTTAACCAATAATGCTTGGTTCAAAATTATTTTACTTCAAAAACAAGATGAAAATAAAGACTTCAAAAACAAAAAGTGTGGTTGTTAACACGACTAGCACAGTCTTACAAAAAGTACTATATTGGCTGGGTGCACTGGCTCCCGCCTCTAATCCCAGCACTTGGGAGACTGAGGTGGGATAATTGCTTATGCTTAGGAGTTCAAGACTAGCCTGAGCAACGTGAGGAAACAGTCTCTATTTTAAAACACACACACACGCACAAAAAAAAAAAAAAAAAACCTCAGTGACTCATGAATATAATCCTGCAATTTTAGGAGGCCAAGACAGTCAGATCACTTGAGACCAGGAGTTCAAGATCAGCCTGATCAACACAGTGAGACTGCATATAAACAAAGACAAACCCTAAAATGCATCCGTTCGGTTGAATATTAAAATGATGTTGGATAGCATTATAAAGCCATAGATAATTGTAAAGCTCTCCATTAAATACAAACATAGAGACACATGAAGATTTTTTTTTTTTGAGACAGGATCTTACTCTATTGCCAGACTGGAGTACAGTGGCATGATCTCAGCTCACCAAAACCTCCTCCTCCCAGGCTCAAGCGATTCTCCTGCCTCAGCCTCCGAAGTAGCTGGGGAAGGCGCCACCATGCCCAGCTACTTTTTTTTTTTCTTTTGTATTTTTAGTAGAGACAGAGTTTCACCATGTTGGCCAGCTCGTCTCCCACTCCTGACCTGAATCCACCTGCCTCAGCCGTGCAAACTGGTAGGATCACAGGCGTGAGCCACCACACCCAGGTAAAAATTCTTTACTATCATAATGATGGTATATAAATCCTTAGAGTTACACTTTTTAATAACTGAAAAATATAGAGGTATAGTTTTTGTATTAAATTGAAGTAGTTATGAGATTAAAATATATTGTTTTTTTGAGACTGAGTTGCCCTCTTGCTGCCTGGAGTGCAATGATGGGATCTCGGCTCACTGCTACCTCGGGTTCAAGCAGTTCTCCTGCCTTAGCCTCCCAAGTAGCTGGGATCACAGGCATGTGCTACCATGCCCAGCTAATTTTGTATTTTTAGTAGAGATTGCATTTCTCTATGTTGGTAAATTCCACAATTTACCAGGAATCCATACATATTATTGAAATGAACTAACCTGACTCCATCTTAGAAATAAGTCTGACAAGCTCCAGCTTAGCTTCTCCCTCCCTCAGTCACACTGTATTCAGAGCCTTGAACTGCTGAGGTTTGGGTCACACTGTTCTCAGTACTTGTAACCGAGGTAACCATGTCCTGCTTGGAAAGTCTACCTGCTATTGTGAATACCCGCTTTGTGATTGATTATATGGAAATACTCTTAGTAATTAGCAATCATGAGAACCTCCACCTCCCCTGGTTACCAGTTTCCTCCCCTAACTTGTTTATTCTGCTTCTGTAAACTTCCGCTTTGCTCCCTTACCCTAAGCAACACATAAAAGGAAATCAAACCCCTTCCTTGGGGCCAAGAGAATTTTGAGTGTTAGCTGCCTCTTGGTCACCAGCAATAAAGGACTCACAATGAAAACTCAGAGTGTGGCACTTTCTCTAACTCGCTCAGATATAACATTATATCCATCTGTATGTGTCTGTGTGTGTGTGTGTGTGTGTGTGTGTGTGTGTGGACACACACACACACACACACACACACAAAATATCCTTTTTTTTTTTTGAGGCAGAGTTTTGCTATTGTTACCCAGACTGGAGTGCAATGGCATGATCTCGGCTCACCGCAACCTCCACCTCCTGGGTTCAGGCAATTCTCCTGCCTCAGCCTCCCGAGTAGCTGGGACTACAGTCGCACACCACCATGCCCAGCTAATTTTTGTATTTTTAGTAGAGACGGGGTTTTACCTTGTTGACCAGGATGGTCTCGATCTCTTGACCTCGTGATCCACCCGCCTCAGCCTCCCCAAGTGCTGGGATTATAGGCATGAGCCACCGCGCCCGGCCAATATTCTTACACACACACACACACACACACACACACACACCAGAGCTCAAAAAATATATGAAGCAAATACGGACACAAGTGAAGTAAGAAATATATAGCAACATCATAATTGTAAACATCAAGACCCCATTTGCAGTAATAAATAAAAAAACAAAAAACTTAGACAACAACATAGACTGTATTTATTATTCTGCATATAGAGAAATACCTGAGAGTAGATAATTTATAAAGATAAAAGGGTCAGGCGTGGTGGTTCACACCTGTAATCCCAGCACTTTGGGATTACCGAGGCAGGCAGATCACAAGGTCAGGAGCTCAAGACCAGCCTGGCCAATATAGTGAAACCCTGTCTCTATTAAAAATACAAAAATTAGCCAAGTGTCGTGGTGCACACCTGTAATCCCAGCTAATTGGGAGGCTGAGGCAGGAGAATCAATTGAACCTGGAAGGCAGATGCTGCAGTGAGACAAGAAAGTGCCACTGCACTCCAGCCTAGGCGACAGAGCGAGACTCCAGCTCAAAAAAAAAAGAAAAAAGGTTTGGCTCACAGTTCCAAAGACTATACAACAAGTGTGAAGTGTGTGCCAGCATCTGCCTCCTGTGAGGTTTTCAGGACTTACAATCATGACGGAAGGCAAAAAGTAACTGGACTAATCACATGGTAAGTAAGAGAGTAACTGTGAGGTGAAGGATCCAGGTTCTCTTAATAAACCAGCTCTCATTTGAGTAGAGTGTAACCTTTCTGATTGCCAAGAGGATGGTGTCAAGCCGTTCATGAGGAATTTGCCCCTAATGACCTGAACATCTCCCACCAGGTTCCACATCCAACACTGAGGATTACATTACAGCATGAGGCGCACATCCAAACCACATCACAGAACAGCTAGGCTTAGCAGGCATGTACAAAACTTTCCAGTCAAAAGCAAGATAAGGCCAGGCGTGGTGGCTCATGCCTGTAATCCCAACACTTTGGGAGGCTAAGGCAGGTGGATCAAAAGGTCAGGAGTTCAAGACCAGCCTGGCCAATATGGTGAAACCCCGTCTCTACTAAAAATACAAAAATTAGCTGGACACGGTGGGACATGAATGTAGTCCCAGCTATTCGGGAGACTGAGGCAGCAGAATGCTTTGAACCCAGGAGGCAGAAGTTGCATTAAGCCAAGACTGCGCCACTGTACTTTAGCTGGGGTGACAGAGCGAGACTGTCTCAAAAAATGAAAAAGCAAGATAATACACATATTCATATTTTCACCTGGTATATTCTGTTAGGACACATACCAAATCTTATTAAATTTAGGAATATCAGCTGGGTGCAGTGGCTCATGACTATAATCCCAGCACTCTGAGAGACCAAGGTGGAAGGATCACTTGTCTGAGACTGAGATCATTATGGGCAACATAGTGAACACCTGACCCTACTACTAATAAAACAAACCAGAAGGCCAGGCGCGGTGGCTCAAGCCTGTAATCCCAGCACTTTGGGAGGCCGAGGCGGGTGGATCACGAGGTCAACACATTGAGACCATCCTGGTCAACATGGTGAAACCCCGACTCAACTAAAAATACAAAAAATTAGCTGGGCATGGTGGCATGTGCCTGTAATCCCAGCTACTCAGGAAGCTGAGGCAGGAGAATCGCCTGAACCCAGGAGGTGGAGGTTGCGGTGAGCCGAGATCACGCCATTACACGCCTGGGTAACAAGAGCGAAACTCCGTGTCAAAAAATAAATAAATAAATAAAACAAACCAGGAATGATAGTATGTCTATAATTCCAGCTCAAGAGGCTGAGGTGGAAGGATCACTTGAGTATAGCAGGTTGAGACTGCAGTGAGCCAAGATCATGCCAGTGCACTATAGCCTTGTTGATGGAGTTAAGATCTTGTCTTTTTTTTTTTTTTACAGAGACAGGGTTTCACCATGTTGGTCAGGCTGGTCTTCAACTCCTGACTTCAGGTGATCTGCCCATCTCGGCCTCCCAAAGTTCTGGGATTACAGGCATGAGCCACTGTACACAGCCAAGATCCTGTCTTAAAACAAAAACACCAAATAAAGAAGACCAAAAGTAGACAGTATATGTTTTTTCACCAAAACTGGATGAAACTAGAAATTAACAGCAAAAGCAAAACTGGCAAATACAAATATATATGAAAATAAAGGAAAACTCAGGACGGGCACAGTGGCTTACGCCTGTAATCCCAGCACTTTGGGAAGGTGAGGCAGGCAGATCACCTGAGGTCAGAATTCGAAAACAGCCTGACCAACATGGAGAGACCCTGTCTCAACTAAAAATACAAAACTAGTTGGGCGTGGTGGCACATGCCTGTAATCGCAGCAACTCGAGAGGCTGAAGCAGGAGAATCACTTGAACCAAAAAGGTGGAGGTTGCAGTGACCAAGATCCAGCCATTGCACTCCAGCCTGGGCAACAAGACCAAAAATGCTGTCTCAAAAAAAAAAAAGGAAAGAAAAGAAATTATTTAACATATTCTTGCTCAAGGGTCAAAAAATTTAATTTTCCAAAGATATTAATATGACCTACAGTGGTAAACAAATTCAATATGATCTCGGTAACAATCCCAATGCACAGCTTTTAACAGAAATATAATTTAAAATTGTTTAATTTAATAATAAACTATGGACAAATACCCATAAATAAAAACAAAGAGGCATTATACTTCCTGATTTTAAAACATATTAAGGGCCGGGAGCGGTGGCTCAAGCCTGTAATCCCAGCACTTTGGGAGGCCGAGGCGGGTGGATCACGAGGTCAAGAGATGGAGACCATCCTGGTCAACATGGTGAAACCCCATCCCTACTAAAAATACAAAAAATTAGCTGGGCATGGTGGCATGTGCCTGTAATCCCAGCTACTAGGGAGGCTGAGGAAGGAGAATTGCCCGAACCCAGGAGGCAGAGGTTGTGGTGAGCCGAGATCGCGCCATTGCACTCCAGCCTGGGTAACAAGAGCGAAACTCCGTCTCAAAAAAAAATAACATATTAAAACCTACAATAACAAAAACAATGTGGTACTGCTACAAAGATAAATGGATAAAAGAATAGAATGGAGAACACAGAAATGAACCCTTCTATATATGACCAAGTGATCTTCACATGAGCAAACAATGAGAAAAAGATGATCTCATCAAAAAATAGTATTACCCACAGCCAATATCATACTGAATAGGCAAAAACTGGAAGCATTCCCTTTGAAATCTGGCACTAGACAAGGATGCCCTCTCTCCCCACTCCTATTCAATATAGTATTGGAAGTTCTAGCCAGAGCAATCAGGCAAGAAAAAGAAATAAAGGGTATTCAGTTAGGAAAGGAGGAAGTCAAATTGTCTCTATTTGCAGACAACATGATTGTATATTTAGAAGACCCCATCATCTCAGCCCAAAATCTCCTGAAACTGATAAGCAACTTCAGCAAAGTCTCAGGATACAAAATCAATGTGCAAAACTCATAAGCATTCCTCTACACCAATAACAGACTTAAAGAGAGCCAAATCAAGAATGCACTGCCATTCACGATTGCTACAAAGAGAATAAAATATCTAGGAATACAACTAACAAGGAATGTAAAGGAACTCTTCAAGGAGAACTGCAAACCACTGCTCAATAAGAGGGGACACAAACAGATGGAGAAACATTCCATGCCCATGGTTTGGAAGAATCAATATCGTGAAAATGGCCATACTGCCCAAAGTAATTTATAGATTCAACGCTATCCCCATTAAGCTACCAATGGCCTTCACAGAACTGGAAAAAAAAACCCACCTTAAACTTCATATGAAACCAAAAAAGAGC